CACTCCAGAGCAGCTCCGTCCGCCCGAAACCAGCACCAGAGAACGGCGCAGCGACGCCGCGGGGAGCCAGGTTCGGGGGCTGTGCAAGATTCTGGACTTCACGAGCGGACCACCGCCTTTGACAGTCAGAGACACTACTGCTGGTATCCAGCAATATCAATTTGCAACCAGCAAAACTGGATCCGGTTGAGCTCACATTCATGAATTAATCATAGTTTAAATACCAATGAATCCAAACCTTTAAGGACAAAGATGCCTAGAACGTTCAAGTTTTTAGCTCACAAATGCCTACCATGCTGGTAATGGTAATGATGAGGTAAATGCGTTGTTAAGATTTCAACGAAATTCGAGATACGCGATCAGCATAAGATAGCATCAATTTCAACAGCCACCAGTATGCCTATGTTGGCAGTCGTTGCTAATGTATGCTAACAAATAGGTAGGTACTGAGCAAACTTGTCCACTATGCAATTGCATATTGCATAGGTACGGTTCTCCAGGGTATTAGTCGTTGGTCGCTCGGCGAGCGGGAGGGCAACCAGTTCCGCCCCTGTATCGCGTGACCCCTTGCTCCGCCCAGTTACGCACGAGCGTACTCCACGCCGCGTAGTAGCGTGGGGAGGGGAGGGTTAGAATGGTGGCATGTGTAGAGGCTAGAACCGGTTTCCACCGCCATGCCACCGCCCAGCGACATGGAGCGGGGTCAGTGACCAGGGCGCAGGGAAAGGTCAGAGGTCAGCTATAACGTAGAGCTTTGTGTCTCCCTCCCCTCCGCGTGTAACGACCGCACGACAGCGGCCGGCCGCCAATCAGGCTTGACATGTCAAGGTCACCCGCAGTCAACGGGCTCAGAGGGTTGGTCGAGTGCGTGTCCGACGTCCGTGGCTGACGACAGTCTCGACCATGTGCTATGGTGCCGATAGACTAGCGTGGGTAATAAGTTTTTGTTCGGTGCATATGGCTGCTGGGGTGTGTCATCTTGATATGATGCTTTGTAACCGTATGATACGCTTAAAACCTCGCTGGCAGTGGCCGAGAGGAGAGGGGGGGAGGCGGGTGCCGCCTCCACATGTTTATTTTTGTTGATAGCTGCGAGAGCTGAAATTTGGCAAGAAAATTGACCTTTGATTCAAGCTGAATTTTTATGACAGCAGCTGTATTTTCACCCTCGCCCATATTGGTGCTTTGCCAGCGTCCATCGTAAAGGGGGGAGGAAGGTCCGTTGGACCCCTTTGCCGTTCAGCCCCTGATCGAGCTAGAGCTTCGCGGAAAAAGAGCGTGTTGCCCGTGACGAGAGGAGGCCGTTGATACCCAATTTTAAGGTCCTAGGTCATTGGTTGACAGGTCAATATAACTCAAAGTTCGGGGAATCGGGACCTGTTAGAGCTTCGTAAAGTGGAGCTGTTATAAGGTTTTGCGGGGTGCTGATCACGAATTTCAAGTTAGTTTTGGATCACAGATGATGTTTTCGTGCATTTAGGCCAGGTCGGGTCAGGTCAGGTCAGGTCACATGTTACGAGGGAACCAAAACTACTTCTTAAATGTTCAAACGGTTTTTAAATGCGAAATCAACTCCAAAATCTACCCTAGAAACATGTAGAACTCGAAAGAGTGAACAAAGGTCATCAAAGGTCAGTGACCTGACTGACCTTCACGTGACCTTGATACCCACTAGAATCCATGGGATCAACATCCTTTCGCATGTTTGATCGCTTAAAGCCACAAAAAGACAATAAAACGCGCTCTTCTCGAAATACGCCAAAACGCAATTCCGGCCAAACATGGTCTCGGAAAATAGGTCACAAGTCAAAGGTCTTTTGAGTCAGTATCATACAACTTATAGGATAGGCGTAATATTGATTAACTCGAGGGTACTGGAAGTTTCGTCGCAATCAGTCGCTTTTTGCGCGAGTTATTTGCGTAAAACTGAGGTTAGGAGGTCTGTTCGACACCCTCCTACAAGTGCGAAGGTTAAGGTCAGGCCGTTGACCAATGACGTCAAAAGAAAACCTCTGTAAGGTCCCAAAATGTCGCGACGTCGCAGCACCCTTCGTGCCAGGGGACTTTTTAACGGGGAATGAAGCTTATATGATCTAGAACTATCTCCCAGAGGCCTCACAACTTGCATGTAGCTATCTCGTATTTTTCTCAAGAGTCACCTGAAGTCAGGTCGGTCACGCAACCTCACGATTATTAATCAATTGGGAAATATGAAAGCTGTTATTTTGGCGCCGGGAGCCATCTAAAGCTGTCTCAAGCGCATTAATTCGCAATTTTATACAATCTGTGCAAGCCCCAGCGGCCAGCATTCACTTTTCCATTCTTAAAGTTAGGCGACTTCATTTATGACGTCACTAAGGTCACAGGAGTTTTCACCAAAAAGTCCCGATCAAATTGAGCTAGCGAGTCGGGAAGCCACCAGTGGACTTGTGAGGACCTACCGAATCTAAGAAGCGATATGACCTCCTTTGGCCAGCTTCGTGGCCTGAGTGGCTCTGCCCTGACCATGACCTGATGTGAACACCTTAAATTGACCTCAACAAAAACAAAGCGTATACTATTCGACGCGCTTGAGCATGCAAAACTCGATGGCGCCATTATCTTGGCTCTGCAACCACTTATGGTGGTTGTTTACCAAAAACCGATCCCGCGATTTGGAGCACTTATACTGACCTCAGAGTTTATCGGTTGACCTGAGACATTCAACTCGGGTACCAGTTGCTGCATCTCATACGACGCACGCGCTCAGTTTTATCCGCAAGGCGCTAGCTCAATTAGGGGCAAAAAGACGGAGAGGGGTCGTAATCCCCCCCCCTCGGCCGGGGTATATGCAGAAAACCCAAAATTCCGTTGAGGATTAAGCACTGAAGTGATATATTATGATGCAAGAAGGTATAGGTCAAAACGATTATGCACACGAGCGGGTGTGAATAAAATTGTGTTTGAGGTATGCCCTTTTTTACTATACATTCGATTTGCTTTAGTTATTGGTAAGAACAGATACAACCAAGAAGAGCGCCCCTGAAGAAAATGTGGCGCACCGGACGGGTGCGGTTAAGGTCTAAGGTCAGTCGGGGACCTCTAAGTTCGGATCAAGCGCTGCATGTTTATAGGGGTAAAAAATGGTGACAAAAAAGCATCCCGATTTTGGCAGCCTCGTCATGCTTTGTCACGGCACTCATCCACTCCCTCGGCCGAAATATTATTTCCTTTTTGTATGAGTTCTTGCATAATCCCGCCCATTATGCTGCATGTTGTTTGCCATGAAAAAAAAAACAATGCATGTTCAGCTACGTTCTACGCAGTACGCACTAACCTAACCAGAAACCACCATCCCATCATCCACCACTAGCCACCATCCCGTTCTGTGCTCCCTTCCACCACACACGAATCAGCCGAGATACCAGTCAGTCGGGCTAGCGCTATCCTATCCTCCCTTCCTGACTGCACAGCGCTAAAACCCAGAGCCGAGACTTCCCGAGCGCGACCTCCGACCCCGCGCGGTCCGAAGGGTCGACCGATGCCTAAGGGCGCGCCGCGCGCCGGCCACCCGGATAGCCTCTACCGAGTCTCCCTTTCATACACCGTTTACTACGCGCTCGATTCATTCATGATTCTGTGTTTCCGCGGTCCTGTCGTTAGATGGCTCTACTGATGTCATAGGCGATCCCAGGAAGATTGCGGCCAGAATACCCCAAACGGCAGAAAATGAGGTTTTTGGTGAATATCTCGGAAAGTATTCGGCATACATCGATGCCATTTCACAGTCTCGTGGTAAATGTGCATACACATAATGCGGGTTGAGACTTATGCATTTGAACATTATATAGGACCAGATATGTCCGAAAAAGCAAAACCAACAAGACTTTTACTGGAGAACCGTACCTACTGCATACTAAGTCACGCGAGCCAGACGCTTGGTCTGAGGCGCGTTTCGAGCGGTAAATGAGCGGCTCTAATCCAATAAACGCCGGACAGCAGACCGTCACCCCAGCCGCCCGTCTGTCCAGAAGCAGCCGCCCCATCGGCGCACCTTCCGTCCCACACCCGTGCCAAACTGGTTCTGCAGTGCCGTGTGTGTCCAACGTCCCCAGACAGGCCCAGCCCAGGTGGTAGCTGGAATTTCTTATAGGTATCTTGGCTGGAAGCGGGCAGCACCGTGGCATGCCGTGGGCTACGGTCGGGCTCGTCGAGTAGGAGGCCATACATACTGCCGCCGCCTAATATATCATGACGGCGACATAGAACGACCAGTGTCCGCACCATACGCGAACAGCCCACGAGAAAGGTATGCTTTCGGCAACTGCGGGTGCATGACAATGGGCACTAGCAGGCCACCTGTGATTAAAAAGGATTGAAAACAACGATTGGCAAGGTATGAATTTACACATGCCCCGCATTGTTGACAAAGAGATAGATGAAAATACCAAGAACAATATGAGCTACTTCAAAACTTAAATATAACCAGAGACCACCGGACTCTCAGAGACTTTTTGAGCTTCCAAGGAGCAGGTCACTAGGCCCTGCTACCTACCTAATTAAGCAGAATGGATCGAGCATAGGTAACTATCTGCAAATAACCGTATCGTCAATATCTCCATAGCTCAAATTGTTTCGACTTTCGTACCTAAACTCATTGATTGATTGATTGATTGATTGATTCATTCATTCATTCATTCATTCATTCATTCATTCATTCATTCATGATTCGTGGATGCACCGAATGACGCAAGATGACGACACAAGCGTTGAGACCCATTGATGGAGTTCAAACGGCGCAGGGCACAGTGAATCTTCCATGCTTTATTTTCGGTCCCATTCCCAATTTTCTATGATGAGCTGGAAAGCACTGGACAGTGGGCAGGCAATGCTTAGATTTCCTAAGGCTCTAAATGGCACTTGATATAGAGCTTGTCCATTTCACCCTGTTCAAACATGTCTCCGGAATGAAGATGGACCCTTGCCCTCCCACTGGACCAGTGACCGGTCACCGGACTGACCTGACCGCGACACGGACGCTGGACTCGCCGTCTGCCATGGCGCTGACTTATCTGAAATCAGGGGTAAATGTCATCAACTATACCAACAAAACAGAGAACTATACATCAAATGATTTATGTGTCGAACTTCGAAGCAGTTTGAGTTCAATTAAAGACTTCATATTGAGTCAACTGTATTGACAAAGGCCTATCAATTCATAAACGCTGAATGAGAGCAATTGACATGCCTAAATTAGTTTGCATAATTATGCAAAGAGGATTGGTAAGGACAAATTAAACACAATACATACCATACATAACTACATGGGCAAAACAAACTACAAAGGCACTTATGAGTTATGAGCACAATTATAATTTTGAGAATCCTGATTGAATTTACCTACTTTGACTTCTAATTTGAATTATTGCGCGTCAAGCATTCTGACACTGTCATACTTTAACGCTTGTACTTACAGCAAACTGAAATCGAAGCGTTTCTGATTCAATATCACAACTCCAAAGGAAACACGCAAGCATAAACAGCCATCACTTGCAGCGACAGCCTGCGACACACACCCCTCACCGCGTCCGATCTCAAACTGGCATTTGGAAGCCCAGTGGTTGTGTTTGTAACAAGCTACCATATCTGCTCAGTCTCAAGGTCATGAAGGAAATTTCTTCCAGGGACGTATTTTCCTTGGTATCTCCCCCTTTGCACGTGTGTAAATACGCGAAGATGGCCGGCGCGGTGCAAAACGGTCCGAAAGGGACGAAAATCGCAGAGCTGTTTGAATCCATGGAGTATGGACCTGCTCCAGAGTCTGACAAAACTGCCCAGGTATGTGTTCATGTGTTAGAAGTTATATTACAACTTGGCATAGCCCAAATGAGAAGGGGGCGTAGCCCGGGATGTCATGCGCACGATTTGCCGCATTTTATTTTCATTAGGTTTTATATTGTTTATTGCATTTTTCTGTCTCACAAAATGATTAAGCTAAGCGTAAATGCACCTTTTCTGATTTAAAATGACTTCCCTTGTCAATTGATAGTTGTCAACTGGAGCTGGTATGCATCACAGCAGTGGTTCAGAAAACTTATTTTTACATCGTATTCTGCATGGTTGGTGAACCTTGAGGCCTGCTTTTAGGCCAGTTAATAACTGCAGCTAGAAATTTTCATGCTGTAAGTGTAAGATGGGATGTAAATTTTGCTATTTGTGTGCATATCAAGGGGCAATACAGTCTGTATGGTCGGTGGTACGGTGATATGGTGACACGGTCTATGTAGAGCTAAGTTAATAAGAGGGAAACATTTATTTTTACTTGCTTTGCCTTCTAGAGGCTTAAGAATGAACAAGATTAATGGTTAGGGCAATTACCTGTGGGCCTGTTTCAGCACTCCAGTGGAAATTATTGATTGGAGGCTCTTCATTTTACTGGAGGCACAGGAACGCAATGTTGATATTTTTGGTCTTGATGTCAGATTTGCAAGAAGAATGATGATAATCCACTCTTGAAAAGCAAAGTTTGTTTTCAATTTTAAGTAGTAAGATTTAAACATTTTATCGAAGTGTTTTACATATGAAAGTTGAATTGTAAAATTAACTCAAAGGTCCTTTATTTACATTTATGATTGTCACATGTGTGCCAACTGCCATACTTGTAGACCAGAGTCTCCAGTCAAGTGTGGACCTCACAACTGACTGGAAGCTACTGGAGGTTTGCTGAGAGCTTTCTGAGGCTTACCTACTGGTAACTGGAGTCACTGGAATGCTGACTGGAGAATTCTGGAGTTTTCTGGAGGTGCTGGAACAGCCCCTTGATGATCTTGATAAAAAAGTGCTGGAACTATTTTTAAAAGTTGTTGCTGAATCCTCAAAAATGCATAAAGATTTAAACACATCTTTCTAATCAAAGTGAAATAATTTGATGCAAGAATTGGCAAATGTTTTGGGTTTTGACTTTTGACAATTATTGCAATTATGACATTTAATGGCAAGCAAAAAAAAAACAGCAGCTGGCACCAGCACCAATACTACTTCTTGCCATGTCAGATGAAGCAAGTCTTTCCACACTTCCACCAATTATCAGTTGACTAGACTGCAGACACAGAGTCATACAGCTAACATCTATTGGCCATTGTTCTCTGGCAGGCATGGCTGGATGACCACAGCCGTAAGCTGGGACACTTCATCAACAATGAGTGGGTGACTCCCGAGAACAGGAAATGGTACGAGACGCGTAACCCGTGCACGGGCCAAGTGCTGGCCGCCACCGTACAGGGCACTGAGGAGGATGTCAACGTGGCCGTGGCAGCCGCCAGGAAGGCGTTCGGCTCGTGGAGTCAGCTGAGCGGACATGCACGAGCGAGACACATTTACAGGTTAGTGGGAGGGTGGGGAGATTGGATGAGCTGGGTGGTCTTACAAAAAGTTGTCCGGGTATGAGATGTTTAAGCTGTTCATGGAACAAGGCCCCTTTCAAAGGGCCAGCGACTTCCTCGCTCTCACTTTTACTTTTCCTCCACGATATTCCACGATATTTCTTGGAATCTGTTTCCATAGCCGTATTGCTGCCAAGCAAGGAGCCATCCCTTTAACCACATCCACTTCTTTGTATTCCTACTCGTGCTCACCCCACCTCCTTCACCTCGGCAGCATCGCGCGCCACCTGCAGAAGCACGCCCGTCTGATGGCGGTGATCGCCTCCATGGATAACGGCAAGACGATCCGTGAGACGCGCGACTGTGACGTACCGATCGTGATCCGCCACCTGTACCACCACGCCGGCTGGGCGCAGCTGGCGGACACCAAGATGGCCAACTGGAAACCGCTCGGTACGATGGGAGAGAGGGGACTGGTGGGGAGGTGTGGGGTTCATTGGTTGTTTGTGTTATACTAGGAATTTGTATGTTGAAATGTGGTATTATATTTTTAATTTCCGGACCTTGCTTGAACATACAAATAGAGTGAAATTTATGAAATGCGTTTTCTAACGGAGGTAGTATTATTATCGCGATAAGTTGACAGGATATTTGCAAACACACGATAATATTTTATATTACGCTATGTTATGACTGGGTGATCACACTCCAGCTCAAGTCTAACCAAATCATTCCGCTGCTGACGATACCAGCGCCGTCTGACCGCCTGCCGTACCACAGGCGTTGTGGGTGCCATCGTGCCGTGGAACTTCCCTCTGATGCTGCTGGCCTGGAAGGTGTGCCCCGCCCTGGCCATGGGCAACACGGTCGTCCTGAAGCCGGCCACCTACACCCGACTGTCGGCGCTGCTCTTTGCTGAGATCTGCGCCGAGGCGGGGTGAGTGCAGGAACGGTTGGCCAGAAGGTGATGGGGCCTAGTGACTAGATGGATGTCTTGAAATAGACTTTTGTTGGGATTGCAGAACCTTTTGTTGAGGCGCTGATATATTCTGATAAATGTCGATAGGTGAATCCATTATGTGGTAATGAGTAGTGAGTGCAGTCAGCTGTTCTCTGTGGTCTGTTTGCGTATGTGTTCAGAATAGCACTTTTGATGCACATTTTTTGGGCATTCATTTTGTACAAAGTGATCGATTATTTCAAGTGCTTTGCTTAATGTGACCCTCAATGGTGGATGGATGTTCTCACCATTCCATACCTCAGCATGTCCTAAGTCAGTCTCTCCTCGTAGGCTCCCTGCAGGCGTATTTAACGTGGTGACCGGTCCCGGCTCGATGGGTGAGAAGCTGGCCACGCACCCAGACGTGGACAAGGTGGGGTTCACCGGCTCCACAGAGATCGGACAGCGACTGCGCCGGGCCACCGCCGGCATGGGAAAGAAACTCTCACTCGGTATGTCGGCCAGTGTTTGAGGAATGCCGAATATGTTCAATCTGGTGCGCTTTTCGGTGCCATGACAGCCATTTGCATTTGCGTAATTGATTTACGTATCATTTTTCTTGTATCAATACGTGCGCAATATGATCCTGAATATGTATATAACGAACTGGTTAGCTGGTAGCTAAGCCCGATACCGATTTTACAGGAAACTATAATAGATTTAGTCCAGCTGCTATGGCATTGTCTTCATTCAAAGGCCAGAGCTAGGCCCCAGTACGGGGTACCACTGCCATAGCCACTGACATCCTCTCCCTTTCACTGTCTGCAGAGCTGGGCGGCAAGAGTCCGGTGGTGGTGTACGACTCGGCCGACCTGGACTCGGCCGTCGAGGGCGTCGTGGACGCCATCTGGTTCAACCAGGGACAGGTCAGTGCGCACCGGTTCTGCTTTATTCAGTGCTGTAGCAATTTGTCGTTGATCATTCATTTTTGCAGGGACGATTGTTGATAGTTGATCGATAGTAAACTATCAGATAATTAATACAGATAAATATGATAAATTATCCATGGCCAGGGTAGCAGTGGCGCCTTATCCCTTCCTAGGACTGACAAAGTTCATAAAAGCGCCCTCTGTCGTTCCTCCTCATATACGCCGTCTAGCTGACCGTGGCGCCCCTGTCCCACCTTTCTCAGGTGTGCTCTGCCGGCTCCAAACTGTTGGTGCAGGAGCGTGTCTTCGAGCCGATGATGGCCAAACTGCGGTCTCGGATGGAGAAACTCCGTCTGGGTGACTCTCTGGACAAGGCGCTGGATATGGGCGCTATTGTGGATGAGAGCCAGCGGCGCAGTGTGAAGGAGTATGTGGATAGCGCTAAAGAGGAGGGTGCGGAGGTGAGAACGACCGAGAACGACACGTGTTCTGTGAGCAATCATGCAGTGTGATATTTGCTCAGATTAGCCACGGCCTACGGGGTGCTATTCATGCTATGTGACAGTAGAATGACGGTAGAGTGCGCTATTCGTGCTATCCGTTAGTCCGATTTGGATCTGGCCTGCGTTTCCGAGTGGGTACTGCTACGTGTCTTATCGCTGAGCCGCCAGCTTTCTAAAGTCGCCTCGACGCTCCCGTTTCATGCGCATATGATTCATGTTTGTATGTAATTCCAATTATCCATGTCTAGTGTCGCACTATCCTCTTCATGAATGTATATTACGTGAAGGCCACCCTCATCTGGCATTTGCAGTCCTTGCATGATCTACCTTTCAAGCGCCTGTTGTCTCTTATTCACCACACCACTCATCGGCCGCCTCTAACCCCTCTCCCCGTTCTCCAGGTGTTCCAGGTGGGCGCTCCGGCCGGCTGTTTCTACCCGCCTACCCTGATCACCAACGTACAGACCAGCTCTCGGGTGGTGGTGGACGAGATCTTCGGCCCGGTGCTCGTCGCCCTGCCCTTCCGCACCGCCAAGGAGGCGCTGGCGCTGGCCAATAATACCATCTACGGCCTGGGTGGCAGCGTCTGGACCGAGAAACTGCCGCTAGCTCTGGAGACCGCCAAGCACATCAAGGTGGGGCGCAGTTAGAACGGGTTTCCGGAGTAGGTAGCTCATGTTTAAAATATAATGTTTCATCATGCTGTGGGAGCTCTTGCAATTGAGGACTAGAACAATTAGCCTCCCATCATTGGTAGTATTTATGGTGTTTTAGTCTATCCTTGGTGCATTTTTTTCCGTAACTTGGTCGTGATTTTCTACGACTGTTGTCTCCTTCACCTCCGCTTACGCACCAGCTGTTTTACTCCAGGCGGGCTCTGTCTGGATCAACTGCCACAACATGTTCGACGCTGCGACCGGTTTCGGCGGCTACCGTCAGTCGGGGTACGGCCGGGACGGCGGCAAGGAGGGTCTCTACGAGTACGTGAAGCCTCGCTGGATGGGCGACACCAAACAGCCGGCCACCGAGCTCGACATGAAGGAGTTCGGCGCTCGCGACCAGCCCAGCCGGCCCGACATCGGCGCAGCCGCGGTGAGACAGGCGGGAATGGAGAGATGGGGAGGGAGAATGAAAGACCCTGATCGGTGTTTTATGTCGGACTTACTTAGGTATTTGGTGCCCTCCAGTTATGTTTGTGGTGCTTAGCAATAGGCAGTTTTGTTGTAACGATCGCTTGCTAGCTTGCCACTATTGAACATTAATATACAACTTCCCATGCCATTGTTTTTTTTTTCCTAGAGTTGCTTATCTCGGATACGCTGGCCTGGGTCGTGAAAATTCTTGCCATGTGTTTCCTAGAACTTCTGCACTGTTGCCATTTCCCTACAATTCGTTTGCTCTCGCTCCGTCAGGTGGTGCCGGAGATATCTGCTGGCGTGCCGCGCGTGGACCGCACCTACAAACTGTTCTACGGCGGCGCGCAGAAGCGCCCTGACGGCAACTACAGTCGCGTCGTGCTGTCCGCGGACGGCTCACCAATCGCTCAGGTGGCCGAGTCCAACCGAAAGGACGTCCGGAACGCCGTGGAGGCGGCGCACAAAGGCCAGCCGGGCTGGGCCAAACGGTCGGGCCACCAGCGCGCGCAGATTCTGTACTACCTGGCCGAGAATCTGGAGCTGCGCAGGGATGAGTTTGTGAACACGCTGGTGCAGAGCGTCGGCGGCAGCCGCGAGGCGGCCGAGAAAGAGGTGAGGACGCGGGGATGGGTGTGACGGGACAATGCACTTGAAATTTCCTATTGGTTGCATTTGCTACTGACTTATACACCACTGCTGTAGAATCTGTCACTTTTCTTTATTTCATTTTCTCGTCGCCCGCTTCACGGATCCCGCAACTGGAAGCAGTGCCGAGTTTGAGTGCTCCAGACTCCGCCCCTACCCTATCTAACTATTCGCCGGCCACTAACTTGTTTCTCCCCTCCCCGTCAGGTGGACGCCTCGGTGGCCCGCCTGTTCCACTGGGCGGCTCTGTCGGACAAGTTCGGCGGCGCCGTTCAGGAGACGCAGCTGTACGGCACAGTGCTGCGTCTGCACGAGCCGGTGGGCGTGGTGGCCGCCCTGGCCCCGGACACCGCTCCCCTGCTGGCCGCTGTATCTCTGATCGCGCCGCTGATCGCCCGAGGGAACGCGGTGATCCTAGTGCCGAGCGAGCGGCGCCCCCTGCCGGCTCTCGATCTCTATCAGGTGAGTCAGTAACCGGGTGACGAGGCTCGGGAGGGTTGTGAAAGTACAGAGCTATTGACGGCTATTAATGGGAGTCATTCCGTCGGGTGCTTGGTTTGAAGAGGCATCCATTGGAGGATTAGGTAGCGTGGATTCCATTGTTTGTATGCTGATGAGGCATTGTGTAAATTGGGATCCGGCGAATTATTGCGTTATTAGTATTCCTTTGCATGATCGATATGATGAACTGTCGATGAGTATACTGCGCTCGTTTGTTACTGGCTCACTATTTCCATTGTGTGGCGTATCGGTCGATCCATGGCGTGCGGTTGAATCATTCGCCCCACGGTCTTGTTCTGTATTACACAACCCTTCTTTTTTATTTAGTCGGACCTCACTCCAACGGGCTCAAGTCCCAATTACAGGAGAGAGCACCTGCTCCTCCTCGTCCTCGACCCCACCCCCAGGCTACGGCTGCTCTACTCGGGCTGTACCCGTCATCACTACTACCCGTCTTCTGTCTTTCCTGTCCGTCTATGAGTCTTACAAATTACACCTAACCTCTCACATATTTGTTTCCCGCATCGCACACCTAACCACCCACTGATCTCCCCTCATCACCGCCAGATCCTGGAGACGTCGGACGTGCCAGCCGGCGTGGTCTCCCTGCTGACGGGCAGTCGTGACCACCTGGCGCGTCACCTCTCCGAACATCAGGACATCCAGAGCGTCTGGTGTCTGGCGGAGAGCGCCGCCGCCAGCCGCTTCGTCGAGCACACCTCGGCTGTCAACGTGAAACGTACGTGGGTGGACTGGGGGCGCGGCCGCGACTGGTTCGATGGTTTGCAGGGACAGGGTGAGGAGTTTCTCTATCACGCTACTCAGTGTAAGAGCGTGTGGCTGACCATGGGAGATATATTCGCCAACTGAGAGATGGGAGGATGAGAGGGAGGGAGAGAGGAGGTAGAGGAGGAAAGAAAGGAATGAGGGAGAGACGGAGAGCGGGGCTGGATGAAGAGAGTAAGGTGAACAGATGGAAGAGATTAGTGGTTCGAATGTCAGGAGAGCTGCAGCTGATGAGAAGAGGAAGATTGGTGGAGGGCTGGAGGAGCTATGGCTAGAAAGATCAAACGGAGTTATCTCGATGCTCAACTAGAGCTTGACGGAAGAAAAAGACTTATCGACTGAATCAAACTGCGGGTAGCGGACGTTGCAGGGATCGAAAACGTAGCTTATATAGGGATATAGAAGATGCGCCTATGCACAGGATATTGGCGGTTGATAGGATCGCGGTGGGTAGTTTCGAGTTGGGCTAACTAATGGGTAGGAGATAGCCGCTAACGTACTCTGTGTGGGCTGTGCTTGCCGCTGTGGCTGCTATGTATCCGCGGGTAGTAGCATATGGTCCGTAATGTCATTCCAGCCAGAAGGGGCGATCATTTGCGTGTCGGTGAGAGGTCGAGTGCCAAATGCACGGGAAAGCTTCATGCGTAGACATATCTATCCTGGCATACTGTGAGTGCAATTCTTATACTTGTTTCGGCATACTCGGCAAGCTTGCCAGTCAGCACTTTTTGCTAAGCATTTTGTAAGAGAAGCCAGTTATTTTGCAGCCAGGAAATGGGAGAGCTAGCGAACTGTTGCGCGGTGGTAGTTGTAGTGCAATAGCTGCGGCATTTATTGTAACCCCTCAGGTTTCTTTGTGCAATTGTAACTCAACGGAAAATGGTATCTACAGTCTGTGCAATAGTGCGAGAAAATCAGTGCCATTGGTTGAACCTTTTTGTTCCCTTTGAGTTTGGTCAATCGATTAATTGTGTATCGTGGAGATGCAACGGGCTCCAGGGACCAGTCGGGCATAAATTCCAACGAAGAGTGTTTTCACAATTGTTCTGTCGATGTGGAGGTCAATGGTTGCTGTTACTTACATCTCTAAGCTTCTGACAAAGCTTGGTTATTGGTGCATATTTTTGAAAAGTGGTCTTTGTTAACCTCTGCGAGGCACTGGTGCGTAGTTTTCGCTATTGTAACTGTGAGCAATGATTAATAAACAGACAAGTCGGGGCAAAACTGTATTGTGCCAGTCCATCGGATCATCATTATCACTATCTCGGTAATAAATAATTATTAAAACATAGCAAATATATCAAACAATATTAGACGAACATGAAGCTAAGCAATTCGTTGCACAATGGTTGTGTTGCATGACAAATCGACATAAAGTTAACGACGGTGCGCTATTAGTTCTAGTATATTCCGTCATCGAACAGACAAAATTGCATGATTGTTTCATACATACCAGACCCGCTGGACAATTCCGCTCTGCTACCCTGCCCTTTGTCTGTGACCGACAACTCTCGAGCGACTTGCACCTCGTTTCCCGATCTTATTTCGTTTCCCACTCCTCACTTACATATAATCTCGTTTCTCGAGCACGCTACATCAACACAGCGAACAACGAATACAGCCACAAGTCACGATGAACCATCAAAATCACAAATTACCATAATATGTGTAACATCTGCGACAATATGCCAGCGATGTGTGATGTGAACGACGCGTCCGCGGCTTTACGATAAATACCCGAGCTACCAAATCGCGATTGCTCTGTAGTGTGTATCTCGAACGTGACGAAACAGTGTGCTGCTACGCATCAGAGACGCACTTATAACCGAACACGAACACGTACAACAAATAAAGCCGCCACTGCGCTGTTTGGGACAAATTGGGACCACTTAGCGTCTGTCAGCGTCTCCATTGTGTGGTCACTACGCACCACAGAGGCCAGCTTTGCAGAAAGGCGTGACATTTGTTTGCTGGCGAACCTAACCTGACAAAACTAACAGGCGCATCGCAAACAACTTACACAAGAGGCGTGTGTCTGTAAGGACGGCTAGTCTGGCTGGCGTTTGGTGAGTTGTGATGACGTATTCCGCCGTTCTTTGATGACGTGTCCTGCTCGGTGAGTCGTGATGGTGTTTACCGCCGCCCGCTGACTTGTGATGACGTCCCCCGCCGCTCGGCTCCCCGCCGTCGCCGGTTATCTGACGTATGTGCGGACGCTGGCAGCCCTAATCAGCCGGCGGCGCGGGGGTGCTGCGAGCACTGATGGTGGCCGCCGGGCTGTTCCTACCGCCCGGCTCCAGGGCGTCTCCCTCGTCCTCGTCCCGTGCCTCTGTACCGGCCAGATCGAGCTGTGCGGCCACCTGGCGCATCAGGTGGTGCACCGAGTCGAGCACGGTGGCCGCCTCCTTGAGCCGCTGCTTCAGCTTGGCGAGGTCCTCCTGCTGGCGGTACTCGTCGTCCTCCACGGCCGCCTCCAGGTGGTCTGAGAGATGGAGAGGGAATGGGGTGATCAAACAGAGGTATGCATTAAATGGCCTACCCTAGGCCTCAGAAAAAAAAAAACTTATGAGCTTATGTAAAGTCTCACCGAAGGTGCCGGTGTTGACGGTGTCGTGGCTGGGCGTCAGCAGCTCCATCACAAAGTGGAACACCTTGTGGCACGCGGAGAGCGGCCCGCCGCGGCTGGCCACCGCCAGCGTGACGTTCGGGTACTCCACCATTTGGGTGCGCCGCACGCGCGCCAGAAACGCGTCCGGTAACTTCCTCTCCAGCGCCGTGTGGAGGTCCACCTGGTAGGGTCGGTAGGATCACGGGTCAGTTGCGTGGTTATTTGGTCACGTGGGTCATATTGAGGGGTAGAGAAGGAGTCGTTTATCTTGAAGCGGCAATGATCATCAGAAAGATACAATGGCAGTGTCCTGTGTCCATTATCAAATTCGACAGTTTATAAGTATTCATGCTTACCTGCTTACCTGCATGCTGCATGCTGCATACCTGCATGCTCGGTATGCTTACCTGCATTGCGAGCCGTTTGAGAGCGGCGTTTTTGCGGACCGTCTCGATGTCCCCGACGGCCAGGCCGACCAACAGGTTCATCAGCAGGATGGGCATCATCACCATAAACACGATGACTAGCAGGAAGGCCGTGTTGGCGAACGGCAGGAACCGCCGGCCCAGAACGCTGTCGAAAAAAAGCGAGAACGGCGTTAGCAGTGGCCGAATTATGGCGACTTCGATCCCCGAGTATCGCGTGATTGGGGGGAGCAATACCGATCCATCGCCAATTTCCGATCCGCTTGGTGATGTGGTATCTACTTTTAGCCTTTATCGTAACACGAATCAGCACTTAGTTTCCTAAGTTATGTATATCATCCTGTAGATATGTCGTTGCCGGTCGTGAAAATAGCGTTATCGCTTTACGCAGAGAGCGAATTTTCAGACGTGGAGCACAAAGCGCGTCGGCTGGAAACTGGTGATATGCGGCACAGCATGATTCAGGCGCCCGCTTAGCGAGACATCTAGTGGATGAGTTGGGAACTATGATCCGCTGAGCACAGTATTCGGGAATGGGAGACATCGGCCTAGAACAGCGACGGGAATCGGACTGTGATTGAAAGACATTGGCATGGCACGTCAGCTTGAGGGATCAAATAGCTGATGCTTTTTAGTACAGTGAGTTGGACGGATGATTTAAATTTGTGTTTGAACGTATTGATTGCACTAGCTACAGCTACCAAAGTCTAGGAAGCAGTCTATCAGATACACCATAGTTTTAAAATGAAGCCGTATACGCTAAAAAAAAATAAACGGAAGAAGGGTACTTGAATAAACCAGTATCGGAATAAATGCAACTCAGACGCCGCCCCGAGCCCGAATCTGACCGGCCCCTATCGGTATACTAACGTGGGTGAGGCTCGCGCTCCGCGGCGCCCGGTGCCTGTGTTGGTGGTGTGGGTCGGCATTGTGGTGCTGAAGGTCCCGTTCTGCGGCTCCGCCAGCCACGGGTACACGTAGACGGAGAGGAAGTCGATCTCTCCCAGCATCATGTTGAAGGTGCGAGACAGCGCCACGGGCACGCTGCTGAACTCCGGATGGTTGCCCTGAAACGGTGGAAAGGAGGACGGTATATCAGTGCTGAACAAATCGACGGCATAATGAAGTACTGAGATTGCTGACATTTTTTTATCGTGATTTATTTAAAAAAGAGGGCATTGCAGTGAGTAATACGAGTATAAAGAAGAAAACAATTTTTCGCGAGTGAGTACGACTTCAGCTTTCAAGTGTGATTTGTGTTCACTGTTCAGCGTATCGAGACGATAAATGATAAGTGAAGACAAATGTAAATGAATGGTTGGACGCTCACCTGAGACATGAGTATGTAGAAGGCGAGTCCAAATGCGATGATGAGGACGGAAAAGATGACGAGAACTCGCAGCAGCGTCTTCTGAATCTCCACAAACATCACGACGTATATGCCCACCGACTCGAAACTGAAAACGAAACGAAAGTCGGTTGCCGTAGGTGAGCACGGGCAATGATTTTTCTTTATGAATGCTGAGTGCGTGCCGCTATCCTTTCAAACAAGGCGTTCTGGTTCTCAAATGATTATTTGCATGCGGAAATCGACGCTGAGTAAGCGGTGGTAAATGTTACATGCGTTTTCGAAGCTAAACAGGCTTTGTTACACCTCAGCTGCAGGTGCAGGATTCATTGCTTCAGGGAGAGCGACAGGCTTAGAAAGCTCTGATATTCAGTTACAGCAACAGGACTTGGAGCGTTACATACAGGTCTTCAAAGCTCACCTTCTCAGGTAGAGGAGCCTGTTTAAGGACAGCTCACCTTCTCAGGTAGAGGAGCATGTTGAACCAGGCGAGGAACACGGCGATGGCGGCGGCGATGACGTAGACGTGATGTACGACGGGGTGGAAGACGGGAGTGACGCTGAACAGGGCAGACATGTACAGCGACAGCTCCAGGTAGTTCTCAAAGTCTGGCAACAACACCAACACCGCACATAGCATTGGTGGACGGTCCTGTTTGAATAAGAGCGTTGAAATTATGGGATGTGGACGCTGGCCATGAAGTCGCCGAGCGGCGAGTACTGACCACCCGCCGGTCTAATGCTCTAGCAATTTCAGAATATTTCACAATGCCCGTTCATATAAACATATCAATGCATACAGGATTTAAGTTACAGTTATTGTTATACAGGTATTACAGTTGTCTTAATGCAATTCAGAGCCAGCAATGTATCGGAAAAGACCAAGGCGTGCAATTTAAAAATGGCTTACCGATGAGAAAGGCCCAGCCTTGGTTCCACATTTGCATCATTTTCTTTAGCACGTTCAGGACACCGAAAATGATAACTGCGATCATGGTTATTTGCTCCGTAATCGACGACCCGTTGGTCACCCAATCCTGGAAGAAGCGGGAACATTATCACCATGATTTAATGCATGATATAAAGTTATAAAGAGCAAGAGCATCAGCAAAATGCAGGCTGTACAGTATAGACTACATACCTATATACCCCTTTTGACTTACGATGCATAAGTTTTGACTACAGTTTAGGTAATAGGCAAACCTTTTTCGAAAATTCCTCATCCATATCTTTTCCTGGACTGCTCGCAGCCTACCTCGAGTACTATCAGCCCACTGCCCATCTGTGAGAAGTTCCCGCTGCCCACCTCTGAGGAGTTTTCGCAGCCCTGCTGGAGGCCGTCCGACTCCTCCCAGCTGACGTATCCGTCCGTCTGCAGCAGCGCCGGACAGTGCTGCACCAGACGCAGCAGGTGCACCCCGTGCGCCGTCACCAGGGCCACAAACACGGCATACAGCAGCATCGACAACATGTGGCAGATCCGGCCGTACGCCTGCCACTTCATGGCCAGGTACTTTTGCGTCAGCGGGTGCATCAGCAGCTCTATACGGCCGTGACGCACCATATGCTGCAGAGGAGAGAGGGAGTTGGTACGGGGCGTCATCGCGAGACAAATTGGTGTTTGAGTCGGTATGATGGAAAATTACAAGGTTCAAGCGGGATTGAAAGCTTAGGTATTTGATTGGCGCCAATATAGTAGTAAGTCTTTATTGGCGTCGGTGCCATGCGAGGTGGTGTTTATCTATTGAATATTTTGGGTGATTTTGCTATAAAAATTACGTTTTGGCAATGGTCGAAATGACCATATTCTCAGTCCCGCTTTCACAGATTCGGAGAACATAGCAATGTTTTATGTTTAGTGTAGCGTTGAGAAATTGCGTGACAGTATGCTCTGACATTATGCTTTTACACTGCCGGGTGCTTACGTTGACTGCAGTGAGTGGCCGAGGCTTCCACCTGTTATCCCCGCGGGATTTTCGGATGGCCGTCACCTGCCTGTCGTTCGGCTCAAACAAACTCAGGTCGTATGTTATCTGGTGGAAAATGACAAAGGGGGAGAGGGAGATATGTTGATTAAATTACCGTCCGAATAATGCCTTGCTGAATCGCGTGACTGGCTCGTATCGCACGCGGTCCGAACGTTCCAGAAAATCCAGCTAGGCGATCAGACATTAAACGGTCGTCCATTGCCCATATTGTCGGGCCTCGTAATAGGTAATCGACAACGTTTTGACATTGAATTGAATTTCTGGGATTGCTAACTGCCGAGCGGGATTGTAAAGCCACTAATGGAGTGCGGATCATTGGGTTCCGCGAAATTGAATGGTGGTCAATTTTCTAGACACACGCGATGGTCAGACGTATTATGTGACATTGTCTGCCCTTGTGTAAAACGGTATTGTTATAGGCATGTTATTATTATTATTACATAGACGTATTGATATAAATGGGAAAGGCAATGGGAACGTGTTGTTTTTATATTAAAATTGGTTACACATGTGTTTCGGGAATAATCCCTTGGTCACACCATATAAAAATAACTACCTATATCGAAATACAATCGAGGTCGAACGGGGTCGAATGGGGACGTTCACAGACACTCACAGATTAGCAATTCTATACATGACTGAAAACGTTACACTGCTTTTCGCCCGGAACCCCTACTTCCTGAAATCATTTTTCAAAATTAATTGAGCAGTGTGCTTGCTGAGTTTTACTTTACCCGAATTCCCATTGAAATTACTAATCGAAATAAACGCTGCTTCCACCGCCTGTCGGTTACGCTTATTTAATCCCACGCATAGGTTTGACATCGCCGACCAGTTTGGCAAATGCCCCGCGTCATCCACATGCTGCACTATGGCGTTAGATTCTTGGTGATTCCGCAAATCTCTTTTGTGTTCCTCTACCCGTTTAGCTGCACCCCTGTATGTTTCCCCTATGTAGCTTTTTTCACAAACGCCACATGGAATTTTATAAACCACACTGTTTTGGTTGCTTGCTTTCTTCTTGCGCCGTAAAATATCCTTAATTGTTGAACCCGATGGAGATGTAATGTTTAAGGCTCCCCTGGTAAAGCTTGTGATCACTTCAGATTGTTCTGACAGAGGTACTGATATATATTCCTTTCTTTTCGTGGCATTTGAATTGGAGGATCTTGAGCGGATCTTTATAGCTTTCTTTTCTAGCTGAAGGAGAAGACCCAAAGGGTAGCTGAGTTTGGTAAAAGTTGTCCTAATGTACTCTAGCTCAAGCTCCCTTTCCTAGACACACTGATTTGGAACCGAGAATCAAGACTGATGTTTTCCGTATACCGGAAACCGACCAACAAGAATGACTTTATCCATTTTTATTCGTCGCACAGTCAAAGAACGAAGACTGGAGTCGTTTTGGGATTTTATCTCAGAGCGTTTCGCATCTGTTCAAAGGAATTTTTACAGAACGAGCTAGAGTACATTAGGACAACTTTTACCAAACTCAGCTACCCTTTGGGTCTTCTCCTTCAGCTAGAAAAGAAAGCTATAAAGATCCGCTCAAGATCCTCCAATTCAAATGCCACGAAAAGAAAGGAATATATATCAGTACCTCTGTCAGAACAATCTGAAGTGATCACAAGCTTTACCAGGGGAGCCTTAAACATTACATCTCCATCGGGTTCAACAATTAAGGATATTTTACGGCGCAAGAAGAAAGCAAGCAACCAAAACAGTGTGGTTTATAAAATTCCATGTGGCGTTTGTGAAAAAAGCTACATAGGGGAAACATACAGGGGTGCAGCTAAACGGGTAGAGGAACACAAAAGAGATTTGCGGAATCACCAAGAATCTAACGCCATAGTGCAGCATGTGGATGACGCGGGGCATTTGCCAAACTGGTCGGCGATGTCAAACCTATGCGTGGGATTAAATAAGCGTAACCGACAGGCGGTGGAAGCAGCGTTTATTTCTACGATTAGTAATTTCAATGGGAATTCGGGTAAAGTAAAACTCAGCAAGCACACTGCTCAATTAATTTTGAAAAATGATTTCAGGAAGTAGGGGTTCCGGGCGAAAAGCAGTGTAACGTTTTCAGTCATGTATAGAATTGCTAATCTGTGAGTGTCTGTGAACGTCCCCATTCGACCCCGTTCGACCTCGATTGTATTTCGATATAGGTAGTTATTTTTATATGGTGTGACCAAGGGATTATTCCCGAAACACATGTGTAACCAATTTTAATATAAAAACAACACGTTCCCATTGCCTTTCCCATTTATAGGCATGTTCTATAGCTATCGATTCGCTTACTGAAACAAATTATTCACATTATAAAGTAGGCACTATAGAGCTGACGAAAATTACTTATCGTGTCCAAAAGTAATTGACGAGCATCATGCTCCACATTCAATCGCTTTGTGTTTTAGCTATAGCATTCAGCTGTACCGATATATCATTTTCCCCAAATCACCTCACCGTGAATTTTTCGTCATTTCGTTTGCAGTTGGAGAAGACGATGTGCTTGTCCATGATGGTCTTCATGATGTTGGGCATGACGTCGATTAGGGCGGCCACGATGTATTTGTTCTTACCCTGTGTGTCTGCCAGCAGCGCGGTACTGCCGGCACAAGGACCGGGTGCAGGACTGTTAAAACGGGCCTCCGGGGTACAAGTAGAACCAATTATGTTTATTTGAGTGGTGTCAATGAATTTGACCATTACTTTTGTAACGGTGTAATTACGTGAACGGCACTCCGTTATATTTTGATGGTCTGCATTTTAGACTCGGTGCCTAATGAATCAAAATATTTGCAATTGGCAATTAGCTAAATGACGGAATGTTTCGCTAATTTCATCGACGGCAGACATTTAATAGATGGTTTACTGACACGATAATTACGGAGCGAGCGAAGCGAGCGTAGTCTTTCCTTAGATTAACGGAAATTTCTGAGTATGAGCGGCCGGCCGGCCGGCCGGCCGGCCGGCCGGCCGGCCGTGCGGACGCTTTTGCGAGGCTTATATCTCAGCAACCACTTGACCGATTTACACGCGGTAATTTTTGTAGGGTAGCTTCATTCCTTCTACCAAGTATTGGACTATTCCTGATGCATGTGGGTGACCCCTTATGCACGTGCCACGTGCAAAACGAAGAGGTGTCAGTTTTGTAATTGTTGCAATATCTCGGTAACTACTGGGCCGATTGCGCTGAAAGTTGACATGTAGGTAGGCACCCACTAGGCACTGCATATCCATGTGCCAGAGTTTGGGTGCTGCTGCACGTGCGCACGTGCAGGGGTTGTTTCCAGATCTCGAGAACGGCTCGACCGATTGCGCTCAAATTTGGTACACAGTTAGGGACCGGTTAGTAGGGTGCCGTGCACAAGTCAGTTGGGACCCATTTTGCACGTGCGCACGTGCAGGGTGCCGCTTCCAGATCTCGAGAACGTCTGGGCCGATTGTGCCCAAATTTGGCACATCGCTAGAGACCGGTTAGTAGGGTGCCGTGCACAAGTCAGTTGGAGGTACCCCCTCGCAATTTCGCACGTGCAGGGCCCACCCTCTCGCTCGCTCCGTTAGTCGCCCCAAAAGGCGTTATACTGGTATTTAGGTGTATTTTTTTACGTAACATCAAAGCGTCTAAAAACGACACAATCATTGTATTAGCCCTTACTGGCGCTCCGAGCTATTGATTGCAACTTTAAGATACCTACTCGTACGTTTATGGGCGCAAAATGACCTTGCTGTCGGTGCGCCCCAAAGCCCCAATAAACAAACAAAAGCTCGTACGTTACCTCGCGGTGGGCGTGGTGAGCAGCACCCGCGCCGTCTCGGTCAGCTTGTGTTTGATGCAGATGTCCAGTGCTGTGTACCCGGACCCGTTGGCCGCTATCTCACACCCCATGGAGAGAAGAAGGCCGGCCGCTGAGGGACGGTTGGCCAGGCAGGCCAGGTGCAGCGCGGTGTTCTGAGGGACGCGGTGATGGGAGTCAGATGTGAGGTCAGGCGAGGGGACGCGATATAAAGGGAGACTGCTCTGAGATGGGACTCGGATCAGCTGCGTAGATGAGATAGCGATATGAGATATCGATGATGTAGCGGTATGTAGACGGGACAGATCTGATCAGATGCCTTCACTTTCATTTCTCACCGAGGTGTATCAGTGACCACCAACATTCTAATCATTATTTACGCTCAAAATCAAGGTGCGCACACGAGCTGCACAAGTGCCTGGGATCTGTTGCCCGGAGTCTGGTCGCTCACCCCTGCCTTGTCGCGCTGGTCGAGCAGCTGACTGTGCGTGCCCAGCAACAGGTTCATCGTCTGCGTAAAGCCGCGCCTCGTGGCCAGGTGCAGGGGTGTCAGACCCTCGAAGTCGCGGTTCAGCAGGGCGCCCTTGCCGATCAGCAGCTGCACTACGCGCAGGTGGCCGTTCTGGCTGGCGATGTGCAGGGGTGTTCGACCAGAGCTGTCGATGCCGTTCATAATCTGCTGGCCCTTGGTAGAGCTAAGCAAACACTCGACCGTGTAGTAGCGCCCGAATCTGCGGAATACTTATCAGAGTTGCAACCACATTTATACTTTCCTTCTAGTATTCATCAATAAACACAACTGAATCGCACATTCGAAACGTGAATGTAATAAAAAAGGTGATAACGGACCAGTGTGATAAATGATCCTTCATGAGGTGACATAGACAAATGGCATGTTACGCTTGTCCAGTCACACGGTCACAACATGCCTGCTGCATGTCACCGCCGATCGTGACGGGCGCTAATTCAACTGACACATGTTACGTAACGGCTGGCGCAATGATCCATCTATCTTCCGCCCACTGGGCCAATAACCAGCAAATGGTGCGTGAATGACCCCATTCCGATTATATTTCACATGGTGTTGCACAAATTGGTTCATTTGTGTGGTAAGACCGGTCGCCCAGTCAAGCCCCATCAGTTCGGTTTACAGACAGAGGTGACCGATTGAGCCGATCATCTCGGAGCGGTGGAGGGGGGATAAGTCGGATTACGTCAGCCCAGTTACAGACGGGGTGGACTGATGGGCCGGTATTCAGGGGAGAGGGGGCGGGTCGGGTCACTGACCGAGCCGCGCAGTGGAGCGGACTCTCGTTACTGGCGTTCTTGATATCGGTGCAGGCGCCCTGTTCGATCAGCTCTCTCAGACTGGCCAGGTGGCCGTCTCGGGCGGCGAAATGGAGCGGCGTGTAGCCGCGGCCGTCCTGACGGTTCAGCATGGCCGCCACAGACGCCATGCTCTCCTGTAAATAGACGTGAACATGCCTGTCCTTGTTCATGTCCGTCACTCAGTGGCTGCATAATATTATCGGTATAGCTGGCTAAAAAAGTTTGGCGAATTGTTCCTCGATTTAGGAATATATGATGCTTGTTTATCATCAACATTTTTTTGTTCGAGCCAACTCAGCAATGCCTCCAACGATGATAGTTTCGGCAATCGGCTTATGTATTTTTATCGCCACTCACCAGTTTGCAGTCCATCAGTTGTCCCAATCTGCCGCCGTTCAGGACGATGTAGTGCACCATGTTCCTGCCTCGTTTGTCGATGGGATCCAGGGCGGATCCGAGGCTCACCAGAGTGGTAACGGCACTCCACGAGGAGCGAGACGCGGCCAGCAGGAGCGGGGTACGCTCCTCGCTGTCCACAGCTGACAGGTCCGCCCCCTGATAGAGAGGACACGTTGGGGGAGCACGCACTTTTTGAGGGGGATTTGACAGCCTGGGGGAGCAATTAGCATTGAGCATGCTAGTCTGGTGGTACCGAGCCCGTCGACGATGCACGGATGTGCCCCATTGTCCCATTCTTCCTACTAGGGATGATTAAACTACACATAAACGATATAATAATTGGTCGTTTTGCATCATGCATATTGCATATCTGATATCTCCGAATTAAAGAGTCTTCTGTCTAATGTTGAGCAAAACAGGCAACAGCACTAGCAGCAAACAGCAGAGCTAAGATAGACGGATGAGCGTGGCTAGACTGCACCGCATTACACGTGTGTCGTGCGGTACAGTATACCTAGCCAGTGGCTAGTCTTCGCTACGCCGTGCTGCGCTGGCACGCAGTGCAAATATCATTCGACCGTTTCTTTTTAACCATTGAATAATGAAGAACTGCCACTGCTTGTGTGTGCCGCATTATTTTATGTGTTTCGCCTACCTTGGAGTGAAGGAATTCGACCAGTGCGCTATGGTCAAACTTGGCGGCGCAGTGGAGCGGAGTCATGTCTGCCGAGTCGCGCATATCCAGCACCGCCATCGCGTCTTTCGACTGTGACAAACCAAACGAGACGAAATGTAAGTTCGGAGATGTTCCCATCATTGTATGTTTTCATTTGTTCGCTAGAGGAACGTCGGCTAACCATTGTTGGGGCTTCAATATTCTATTTTATTTATGCTTGAGATCTTTAAACGGATGCACCCCACTTTTCGCGTCTCTCCCTTTGTTTTGAAATAAAGGAGCCAAACCTGAGTCCGGAGCATGAGCTGGGTGATCTCCATGGAGCCCTGAACGCAGGCTAAGTGGACGGGCGTGGATAGGTCGCTCTGAGTATTGGTGATGTCGGCGCCCCTCTGAAGGCACAGCTCCACCATCTGTGGATAAGAGGAAACACACGAATGGAGGCATTATGTAGACGCATGGCAGCTTTTGCCTGAAATAATGCAAACTGCTGGAGCGAGCATCTGATCGTCAACTAAAGTTCTAATCGTGATGTTATAAATAGGAAGCGTAGCAATCGTCATCTATAGACATTTTTACTCCCTGGGTGACAATATACCGGGATCGAATCAATCCGTAGAAAACAAAGCATGGCAAATAATGGCATCGCTGTCAACGCGCACTAAAACTCAACGAACATGAGAAATTAACGACTAAAAACAGTCGATTTTCCTCGGAATCGGAAAGATACGAATTACGAATGCTGACCTTGACATCTCCGGAGTGGACGGCCAGATGGAGCGGCAGGTTTCCCTCAGAGTCGGGATTCTGCATCAGCGAGCGTCCTGTCCGCGCCGCCCACCGGGTCAGCACCAGCATAGTGTCAAAGCTGGCCCGCCGCGCCGCCTCGTGAACCGGGCTGAAGCCGTTCTTACAGAACCGGTCCGGCAGCATCTGGAACTCCTCCAGCTGCCCGAAATAGAAAGAAATGTTTAATTCGGTGTTAAGTTATTGTTTTACATTCATAAGTATTTTATTTTACTAGAGACATCCGTCACACAAATCTTTAAGAAAATCAAACAGGCGACTATATTCACAAACGACGAAAGCTGCAATGAACGCCTTATTTTTTTCATTAAAGTGCTAAGCGAACAGGATCGATGGCCATTTCAACATGTCCGGCTCCTTGTTCTAAATCCTGTTTTGCTTCCTCCTTCTCCCTTTGTAACACCGTCTCAGTTCCCACCAGTATTTCGGCGCACTGGGCGTGGTTGCGCACGGCCGCCACGTGCAGGGCGTCTCTGCCGTGCTCGGTGAGCTGTTCGGCTCGCACCAGCCGCCGGTGTTGCGCCAGCAGACGCAGCGACTGAGGGCGGTCCAGCCACACCGCCAGGTGGAACGGGGAGCGCAGCGAGGCGTCCAGGCAGTCTGTGGCGGCGCCCCTACCGCACACAGACTCAATGACGTCAGTGGTCCGGACAGTCTGTGACGGCGCCCCTGCCGCACACAGACTCAATGACGTCAGCGGTCCGGACAGTCTGTGGCGGCGCCCCTGCCGCACACAGACTCATGACGTCAGCCGTGCTGTCTCGCCGTTAGTTGTTTTCAGATCACAGACAGACAGACAGACAGACAGACAGACAGACAGACAGACAGACAGACAGACAGGCAACAGACAGGCAGATAACATAACCATTCGTCTAAGAAGATAGGTCCGACTTCCGACAATGCGCTTACGACTAAGATTTATGGTATCCTAAAACGGTGATATATTGCACCGAAAAGCGTCAGGGTTATGCAGAGTCAAATATAACTGATGGACTTTCGTTATTTGGTGTCACGACGCGTATAATGAAGCACGAGATCAGGGCAGTGTTTCTTGGCACGCCGCTACGCTGCGCTACAGTATTGTTACGGCGCTTGCGACGAACTCGCCGTGACCCAATTCAGCATTGCGAGTGTCCGAGTTTGTTGATGTTTCCATGAAAACCCAATACCTATATGTACACCGCTACGCGTAGCGCACTGTAGCGCATGTTGAATGTCAAGGCCCCAGCTCAACTAAGCCTAGGGTAACACCAGATAAAACTCCTGGCTTACTTTGTTTGCATCCGGAGTAACCAATACTTGGTTTACTTGGTTTCGATGCAGGCAATGCATGCGGAGCCATTCGCTATGAAGTATGAATCATATTTGTGTAATGGAAAGCACTGGGCAGTTACACATTCGTTATGTTCCAGCACATTTAGTTGACGACAAAAGGCTCGAAATTTCAATCATACCATTCCAGTAGACATTTGATTGCTTCCAGACTGGAGCTCTCAACGGCAGCGTGAAGAGGGGTCTGGCCATCGTTGTCAGTGATGTTGATGTCTGAAACGAAAGAAAATCGTAAAAATGTAAATTTGCGAGCAAAGTCATATATAATTACGTCATATCGATTACGATCAATCATAAAACTAACAGGTAAAAATGATGGAAGTAAAATATAATGAGACAGTTTAATGTTACCTCCACCAGCCAGCACAATGTATTTGATGATCTCGACTTTGTCGGCGGCTGCGGCGTAGTGGGCGCAGGTGCGACCCCGCTGCGCGTCCCTGAACACCAGACAGCTGGGGTCCTCCGAATGGAGCTCCTGGAACCGCTTCAGATTGCCCGCCGCGGCGCACTGCAGACAACAATGCTGCGCTGGTCAAGTACACTCAGTCGGCTGTGCGCGCATGGCTGCATCTAAACACCCAGTTTGGAATAAGTCATGTGGCAGTACCTTTCAGCGTAACCAGACCATCTTTCATCGAATAACATTATTTACCCAAATAAAGTATGAATGAATTGATTTATAATTGTCCTATTATGAGCACATTATAGATACCACAACGATCTAAATGTGTTATTTATTTGTTGTCTAGTCATCATAAATGTATTATACAATGGAACTCGTCGATCATGTTACTGAATAATGCGTGCTTTACGTTTATGAGTACAATTATATAATATGACTTGATAAACGTAGGTATATTAATTGTGTCGTACTTAAGTTACTGCAAGGCTTTTAATCGGTCGTGCCTTATAACGTTTTACCGAAATAAAGGGATATGGCAGTTATTCTCCAAAAAGTCCCCGAAACTACTGTAAGATGGACGAGACGTCAACCGTCCTGTAATGACTGGCGTGGATTACACGGGCCAGCTCGGCGGGCCGAGCCGATGGCGCATACTGTGCCGCATAACAACTAAGAACGGCGGGACAGTATACCACTCCAGGCAGGCGATTCTCCGCTTGGCCGATTGATGAAATGTGCGGTCTTTCGCTGCTCGTCTCGCTTGTCAGAAAAGCTTTCTCTGATTTTTTTTTTAATTTTGTGAAGAACCCACAGTAAATTGTGAGTTGTGAGGCATTGAAGGCCCCGCAAACCCCGGAACAACGATGGGAAAATTACGCAGCGAAAATCCGAGTTTTTCCTTGTGCCTGTTCGGAACTCCACCCCTGCAGTCCCATTCGTCATTACTCACCCTAAGGATTCGGTACGGACTCTTGGCCACCAGGCAGAGCTGTTCGGTGCCGTCGGTCGGCGGAGGGGCGACCGGCTGGACGGCGGCGCTCTTGGGGGCGCTCAGGCGGACCCGGGTGCGCCATTTCCTGACCACGGTGGCCACCGAAGGGCTGAGCATAGGCACCGGGACCGGCCCCGGACCCGACTCCAGCTGCTGGTCCGGGCAGGTGTTACAGCAGCGAAACAGACACTCAAGTCGTGTTCCATTGCGAGGACACACCTACAATCATGAACGTTAATGAACGATCACGTCCAAAAGTCAAGCTATAGCTTGACTTTTGGACCGTGGACGCCATTTTTTTACGATATGCAGAAGGAAGATGCAGCGACCAATAAGAATCAAACCTTTTCATTAATAGTTTTAAGGGAGACATTTTTCTTTACATTTTTGTCATGATTTATGTTCATTGATGCGTCAAATAGCTGCTACAATGCATAAAAGTATTCACAAATACGGTAATTTAATCGTCGTTCCACATTTTCACATCAGCAATTGTTGATACATGGCCCGCAGGACCGTTCGCCGTCTCCGGTTTCTGTATGCCCACTCACGCGGCGTTTACTCACGGGAAGCTGTATGGGCTGTGCCCACATGCCATTGGCAGTTGTCCTTTGGACGCTCCCCAGATGCGGCGGCTCGTCTGCCTCCCGACCGCCGCGGGCTACCCTCCTCACGTGACCCGCCAGACGGCCCCAGGGCATGGCTGCCGCGGCCCGGCCTCCGTGGGACGGTAAACTGGGGACCAGGGGGACGACACTGGTTAGGGGTGCTTTGATAAATGCGCTGTTCTAATCTAGTTTATAGAACCTTCATGGTTTATAGAAGAAAAAAAGCATTACCAACAATATAGCTAGACTAGTTGTACACCTACCTACTTCTAAGTTTTTTTATATCAATAGGCCTATGGCCAGGTAAATTTATTGGACCTCTCCAAAATAGTTTAAACGGGAGGAAATCACTCGCATTCTTTAATGACATTATTCAAATCATGACCTTTACCTCGGGTTAAAATTTGTTGTTGACTTCTTAATGTCTAGGCAGCGTTCGCTCGACGCGTCTGAACACCAGAATCACGACACCGGTAAAATGAATGTTATATCAAAGTTATTTTTTTACAATCTTTGCCCTCTGGAGGCCGTTGGCCATAGCCTAAGTTTGAGAACACACCAGCAAAATGACATTAAAAGATCCATCGAATGTTTATCTGTGCGATGCTCTAGCCCCAATTTTGATGTCATAGGCCTTATCTTTCTCTACTTCGTCTACACCTGTCTCACAACCTTTTTAGCTATGTGACTGCATCCGTAAGTGGGCTCTTTGTGCCTGTGGGTGTCTTGGTGATAATAAACAAATAAACAACCTGTTTATTTCCTGCGTTTTTGGAAGCACTTCATCGTCCATTCCATCCTAGGTAATCTTACCGATCGTTTAAATTATTGCCCTTTCTCTATTGAAGTACCTGCCTTCGCCAAACTTGTTGGAACAGTTTACAGTGGCATAGCAGCAGCTTGACATCTGCGTGCCTGGCAACCATCAATTTTCCTCATTTCAGCACGGTTTTCGCTCTCGTCTCTCCACAGAAACCGCTCTCGCCACCGTATCCGATCACATCGTCTCTGCCACCGACCGTCAGGCACCCATCTTTCTCTGTCTCCTTGATCTTTCCAAATGCTTTGATGTCATCGACCATTCAACGTTCCACAAGTGTACAAACTTCAAACATATTCTAACGATCCGGCCTGGTTCTCCTCTTACCTCGGTGACGACACATATACAGTCTGAACAGCTGTCGCGCGAGCAAACCGAGTCCTCTCCGATCCTTACCCAATCCTATCGGCGTGTTCCGAGGATCCTCGTGGGCCTGCTCCTGTTCCAGATTTCTGCCATTGACCTCCCATTTTTCGCACCTGGGGCGCACGTGCTACAATACGTGATGATACCAAAATTTTACTTTCTGGGGAAAAGGACTCCCCTCCTCGCCTCGACCTCGCTGTTGCTATCTCTTAGGTCATTTTACTCATATCATGACCGATCATTTACCATTGAAAGGTATTTTCAAGTCGACCAACCCTGGTGGTCGTCTAACCAGGTGGTTTTGAAATTAACAGAGTACGATTTTGATGTCACTTATGTCCCAGCAAAGTTAAATGTCAAAGCAGATGTCTTGTCTCGTATCAAAATTGATTCACAAACCAAGACAGACTTTCTTGGTCATGTCGCGGCAAATGCCATAGAAAAAGAGAGTCTAGACAAGATAGGGAATTGGGGCCTCCATCGGGAAGTGGGAGGCCATAATTTCCTTCTCCACACTGTCACATGGGACAATTTCCGGATTCATTTGATGTTTGTTAACAAACCAGCTTCTTCATCGTATTCGGCTCTCGTCTTAACTTCGGTGGCTTGGGTCTCATCTCGATTCGGACCCATGAGGACACGATCCGTGACGGTTTAACAGTGAGCCTTCGGCGTCATTTTCGACAAACACCTCACCTGAGACCCTTACGCATCGGCTCTCGTCTAAAAATGCAACGGTATCCTCGCCGACCTGTCCCGCGTGCGTCACCACATCCCTAGTGAACTCCTGCCAACCTAGCGCCTTGGTCCTCTCGCACGTTTGCTACTGTCTACATATAGCAGGCGTCGGAAACGAGTCGGACAAAAATATACAACGTCGGCGAACAGCTATAAACTTTGCGCTGCAGTGCTATATTCGGCCAACGAAAATTCGACGACATATCGGATGTGCGGGAAGAACTCACGGCTGGCCTGCCGCCCGTCAGTTGCACGAAGTCAACTTCTGCCACAAAACTCGCTGCAGAGTACTGAAGACTGTTTCCTATGGAAACCCACCCAGCTCTTTCCTGCGTTCCCGCCCAGCCCACTGGGACACTGATCTGACTCTTCCCGGCGTGAGGACAAAGGCGGGGAGACGGTTTCTCGCCTGCCGCATTGCCCAGCTACACAACTGCCTATACCCCGGCATTATTTCATGAACCTCTCTTAGGTATGTTCTAAACATTCAATCTTTGAGTTGTTGGCCTTTGATGAGGTCTCTTGATCTCACTTTTGACCTGACCTAAAACAAATTTAAATATTTTCATGATTTTACGCCTATTTCAATGCCGCCTATATGTGGAGCGTTTCACTGCTTGGCCGAAGATGAGTGAGAAAGGGGCATCCACGCTCCCCCTCGCCTTGATTTGTCACGAGCTGCACTGCATTGCCCTGGCGCAGGTCAGCTTGGTATCTGAGATGCATTGATTATGAATTAAATGTCTTAAAAGTATATCGCAAATTTAATCCTATTACCTAGATCAAAATCCCCAAACACATTAAAACCAACTAGAAGGGAAATTTACAGTCCCACTTAATTAATTACGTCTAATATCATCACTTTCGCCACCATAACGTCACCTCAGCGACCCCGACTAACTCACCTGGTCCCAGTCGGCGAGTGGAGTCCGAGCGTCCTTCCGGCGGGCTGCCGACACACTGTCTGATCATAAGCGTCCGCACCTCGGCGGGAGAGCCGACCGTGAGCGGTGCGCTAACTGACGGCGCACACGCCGCCCGGCGCCTCATCGGAACGGCCGGCTCCATCGGAACGGCCGGCTCCATCGGAGCGGCCGTCTCCATCGCCCATAGGAACGGCCAGCTCTATCGGACGACCGACTCCATTGGCCCGTCTCCATCGGAACGGCTCGGCTGGATGTGTGATGCCGGTCGTCTGTAGGTGATATGACACTCGTACAGTGGACTGGCTCAGGGGTATGTGTTTAGTTTTACTTCGTTCAGGATCAGACTGCCAATTACGTTGACTTGTCAAGCCGCTCTGATACTTACGAGTATATGGTAATGCTCAAAATGTTGGGCTTTATTGACCCTGGCGTGTTTTCTCGGCATTTAAGCGTATTCGTTTCGCTGATAGACTTATTTACAAATTAAAGTTAAACGTCTAATCTCAGTGTTTCAGTAGTAGTAAACTATCGTTGGTAGCTATACGCTCCAAGGTACCGCAGTACCTACTCCATAAACAAGACGTCCTCCGTGACGGAATTTTTAAGTGGGGATATGCACTGCAGTATATATTATTCACTGCAGGCCTCTCCTCGCGCGTCTCGGACGGGGCTGGCTCGCGGTCGAATAGTTGGTGGGAGAAGTCGCGCGCGACAGTTTGTGGTCAGTGAGTGGAGTAAGAATGCACCTAGCATGTAAGCTAACCGCTTATAAAATCCTGTTTTATGCAGTTATTCGTAACACCTCTCATGACGACATGAACAAACCAGGACTCTAGCCACTGGAATCACATATTTTTATTTTGTGCTTCGGTAGAAGCACTGACGGATCCATAAAGGCAGTCTTGGACGGTGCGGGACGGGCATACCCCCAAAAAGTGTCTAAATGGGATAACACGAAAGGTTGGTTCCTATCATACTATGTCGTTGCTAAACGAGGCTCATGTCTAGGACACGCCTACAACTATAATAACAGTGTGTGCCGCACCGTCTGCCACCCAGTGCAGTGCACTACAATCGATCGGTTCTGGTTCCAGTGGGATGCTGCGCACTTTGAACCATGTGGTGGGTTGCGGTCCCATCGGGCTGTGTCAGTTCTCAGGCTCTTTATCAACTAATTCCGGTTATAAACGGTGAACCACGCGAGATTTAGCGTTTCCGTCAAATATCGCCATATTATATTCCCGGCTCTCCGCAGTAGTGCAAGATTTAGAAAACGCTATTATTCCGAATAACATAGGGCCAAAACATAAAAACAGACTGCGAGTTGCGACAGTTAAAGAATAGACGCGCAACTAAAATTTGGACAAGAATACCCACTGTGGGGGGATGCAACCCCCCAGCCAAATAACAGGAGCAGTCACCTACCTCGGACGCTGCCAGCCTCGAAGAGCCCCGAAAGACTTGTTTCTTTTGTTTTGTTGGGTTAGGCCCTTTCGGTCTGACAAGACCATATCAGAGCCGGAAGGATGATAGGAATTAGGGGGAGACATTGGTTGGTCTGGGCAGACACCCTAAAGAGTCGCCGGAGCTGAGCCCGTCCGAATGGACAGGCCGACCAGCCCTCCAAGCGCTCTCTGCACCCGGCTACGGGGTGCGCTCCCTCACGGGAGCAGCAGTGCCGCTTCAGGGAGCAGCCTGCATGAGATAAAGGTGCCTGCCCAGCCCGGAGTGGGGGTTGCGGCGTGGAGGAGAAGGATTTCAGTATCCTGAGGATGGAACTTGGAAGGGACGGAACGGAGGGACCCGATGGCCGATAGACGGCGAGCGCTACGTTTTAAGCGGTCCGAGGCGAAAGCATGTGACATAGCCGGCCCGGGGTAGCGGCCGGCCCCGTCCCATGACGGCTGCCCCTGGGTCCTAGGCAGCGCTGACATTACATAAATAATCGGATTTCGATTTCTTACGCCTTACGCACTGTTGTGCAGTTAAACCAATTTTTCCTGATAAAAGAATAAAGATATTTAGTTTTCTTTTATTTTCGGAAAAAAAGTGAAATTGCGTCTATTTTGGGGCAACAGGGGGGGGGGGGGTCATGTCATTTTCTCCAAATGCCCCGTCCCCCGGATCCGCCACATGGGTGGGGAAGAGATAATGGAATAAATTGTTACATTTTGCATTTCGGCTAGAATCGGAATCAGCATTCGGACTCGGATGTCCACTAATCTGCTAACTAGAGAACGAACGCGGAGTACGGACTCTGCCTCTGGGCTCTGACTTCGACCATCCGTGGTTCGTTTACAGCTAGAAGTAACACCTTGTTTTTAGCTGAAACTCAGCTACAAGTGAAAAATGGTAAAATATTATGATTTAAAATAGAAAGTTATTATAAGAAATTGTGAGAATAATGCTGTTCATGAAGAATGCGCTTGTTGATGTCCTCTAAAACGTAGGTCTGGCAGACTTACAATTTGGTGGCGGCAAGTTTTTGTGATAGTTGAAGGAATGGGAGCTTTTCTCTCCAGATGCAATCTTTTCTCTGCCCTACTTTGCAAATGTATCTTAATTCTGGAGTGAAACACACTTGATAAGGATTTTTGAAAGCAAAATCAGATTCATTTATTCTTTCTGACAACTATTTCACTGTACATAAGAATAATACAGCAAATAAACGCTTTCATTAGACGAAAAGTTTTTTAGCTTCCGAAAAACTCTGCCACGAATAAAATATGGCAGCAATGCGCCACATCTGTCCCACGAGATGTAAACAACCGGAGCCGGAGCGCTACCAACCAAGGCAGCGCTCACACACACTATGCACACTATCTGCTGCAAGGGCGTATAGGTAGGGTGTTTTAGTAATTAGTCATGTAATTATTTTGGGATGAATGTTTGGTTGTTGCCTTTAAATTATCACAAACAACACCTAAGAATAATTCAGTGACACTCTGCCTAATCTGGTTAGGCTGCAACTGAATGCCAGTGCTGGCGATTACAGCAGTCAAATTTTTACCTACCTGTACCCAAGGCTATATAAACCAGGTAGAACGCTCCGGGAAAAAAGTTGGAAACAATAAATTAGTTGCGGCATTCCCTGATGACGCGAATGTGGGTCAGCGGCCGGCGGCCGGCGGCCGCTAACACTGTATGAGGATGAATGCACGGAACTTTTGCTTGTTGGAGACTGCGCTAGGCAGATAAATGTTAATGTTAGGATATGTTTCGAAAGTAAATTGAACGACGCTTCGAACGCCGTCAATGAATTTGCGATACGACGACTATTTGTTTAGTTAGAGCCGGCGAACTTTTACCTTCCGACCGCGCGGGGAGGCGATACGGTGCCACACTGACGGTTTTTACGATAACTCAAAATTATTTTGAGCTAAAGAGCTCAAATTTGACATGTACAATCTTTTGATCAAGCTGGATCTTCTGGTACAAGTCGCATATTTAAGGTACGTCAGGTTGTTGACCTATGTTGTCGCTCGTGAGCGTCTACACAGTCCAAAAGCAACGCAATTTCTAGACACTCAGTGCCAAGAAATCCTTCACAGAAAGATGACACTTGGCAGAAAGAAGAGCTGTCAGTTTCTTACCGTTCGTATGTGTCGTGTTTTCACAAGAGTTTAGTAAGGTCAGGTTCCTCACGTGACCTCCCCTCATAACTCAATAGGTTTACTATCATAGAAGCGTTTATCAATCGCCGGAAATCTTAGCCAATCCCACTGGACACTGGATCTATACCCACATGGGGCCCTCCTGACTGGCCACTCCCTCTGAAATCCACAATAACATTGGGCTGCGGCCACGGTTATGTATTAATGCTTTTCACTAACAGAAATACAACAATTTCAACCAGCACAGTGCACGCCGCCACAACAGTCCGGACTCCGACCCACGTCCCTGATATCGACTAGCACCCGGCCGGATGCACATACGCGGAGCCAATCAGTCTGAATGTGACCTGCAGCTTACAATTGCTGTGTCGCATGGCGCATGGCACAGGACGATTCCTAGCAGCTGTCGGGTGGAGTGGAGAAACAGCACGTTGCGACACACCGCGCCGGCGACAGCGCTCAGCAGGCCTGGTTGGAGGCTGGAGCCGGAGGTAAGGGCGGACACAGGCACAGACATTGCAGGACAAATAACAGGATGTCAGTTAGGGATATAATTCAAGACGAATGATTCAAGACGGCCTGAAATAATGCAAATTTTGCTCACTTGGATACCAACTTCAAACTTGACGTTTATAGCACCACGGAAACAATGGGCGCACAGGAAAGAAACAAAAGATGGGGTGTTTCTAACGCAAGGAAGTAAATAGAGGTTGCATATGATGGAACAGCCCGAAGTGCAGACAAGCACATATTTTTGGTAATAGCTATCAGCCTATCAGCTGTCCTACTACTCTTCTCCCTTCATCAACTACTGGACACATCTGAAGCATCATATATAGGTAGCACCAATGTCCATAACAAATGCTTGGAAGTAGTTTTATGAAGCCAAGGGAAATACATGCTAACATGCATGTAAACAATGCATGTAAACTGTAAACATCATGCATGTAAACTCAAAATTACACAGGCATGACAAAGGAAGCTTATGTAAAGAGAGTAGTTAGCAAAAGCATTTCATAGTTAAAATAATTAAAAACTGCACACAGGGCAAACATAAAAAGCAGTAAGTGTCAAGTGTGCACTGTGCTGTTCTGTTATGCTAAGAAATAGTTCAAAACAAAATACATCTTTTCATGTTTACTGGTTGTTCTTCTATGCCACTTCACCCATATCTTGATTACAGATGGGCTGTTACTGTAGGCTGATGAAGTGACACTTGGTTGCCTTTGTGCGAGTTTCAGTTGCAGCCTCCTAGTTACTGCACTGGAAAGCAGATGAATGCCTCTGAAAGATAGGAATATAGGCAAAGTTAGCTGTAGTAGTGTCAATGATAATAGACATGACATTTTTGTCCTTTGACATACATTTGTTGAGGTAAAAAAAAGGTACAAAATAAATTGGTTTGTTTCAAGACACGCTCACTGCACAAAGCCGCACAGACATTACACAGGCATATGAAATTGGTACACATTAAACTTGATGATTAAAAAGGTCAAAACTAGCAATAGTAATTGAAGTAAAAGTTACAATCACAATCATTT